GGACAAGAGGAACTCCCCAGTCTGTCTCTGTCGGACTCCAGTGGAGAGGTCCCTGCCCAGTCCGCACCACTGGGAGGCAGGAGATCAGGAGGCAGCTGTGGGGCAGCTTCGCCTAACCCAATCTCACCCCGAGAGGCTGACAGGCAGAAGGAACTTACAAGAATAGGAGAAAAACAAAAGGCAACATTTCTCTGAACCCTAGCACCCAACCTCCCCTCTTCCAACCCAACCTTACCCTCCGCAGACCCCACAAGGTGGGCAATTTAGGAGGGAGGAAGTACCACTAATCTCAGGCTTCTTGGGGAAAGGGCTTTGGCTTATGACATAGGGCAATAAAAAAGTAAAAATCTGGGGCTGCAGGTGAGTACAGATTTCTGCTTCTGGTACAAAGGTACCTCAGCAAGAAAGATGGGAACTAACGAACTGCCACTAGACGCCCAGCACTGGCTGAAAGCAGCTTCCACAGATGACCCCATTTAACCCTCCCAGCAACCCATGTGCTTGCTACCATCATTATCCCCACTTTGTTTTTGTTTTTGAGAGATAGGTTTTCACCATAGCCCAGGCTGTATCCCCGGCTAAAAGAAGCAGAAATTCAGGCCCAAGAAAGCAGGTGCCATCAGCCACGAAGCTCTGCTGCTTCAGCGCACAGGGGGTGAGGCAAGCATTGACATGCAGTCAGGGCCGAGCGTGATGGCTCACGCCTGTAATCCAAGCACTTTGGAGGCCAAGGCGGGCGGATCATCTGAGGTCGGGAGTTCAAGGCCAGCCTAAGCAACATGGTGAAACCCCCATTTTAAAAAATAATAATAATAAAGAAATAAAGACATGCAGTCAGGAAGAGAAAGGGAGGGGTCTAATCACCATGAGGGTATTCCCAGGCCCCAGGACGTGCTCCGGGCTGCTCTCCCTTCCTCTTCATGTTGCTGTCTGCTTCCTTCTTTCCAACAGGATCTGCTGGGGACCACTGAGACTCAGCCAGGTTTGACTGACAGCTTTGTCCCAGGAGCCCAAACACTTTGCCCATTCGTGATCACTCCAAAACCCCAGGCCGCAGCTGCCGGGCCGATGTTCAGGACGGCACCACCTCACTTCCAGGAAGAGCTCATGGGAGCGAGCCAGGCACAATGGGATTGCTGCGAAAACACAACGCGGGTAGGTAAGGATTCGAGAAGGGGGAATGTGTATGTATTCATGTAATCCGTTCTGATGCCGAAGAGCCAGGTCTTAGCGGGGGGTAACTGTCTGGGGAGGTTGACGCATAGAGCTCTAGGCTGGAAATGACAGCGAGGCTACACATCCGCTACCCTGGGTCCCACGCGTTTCCATTCATTCTTCCTCAGAATGGACTGCCAAACTCTAACCCGGAACACCCTCTTGGGAAGGACAGGGAAGCCTGCATGAGACTTTGCTTTGCAGCCCAGGATCAGGCCCACTTCAGGAAAAGCCAGCACCGAGCAGAAACTCAGCCCCTGATGCCAGGCTCACACCCACAGAGGAAGCCTCTGCACCCGCCCCACACCGGAAGGGAAACTGCGGCCCTGCAGGACAGACTTGTCTTCAGGCCACATCACTGCCGTCCGGCTGCAGCAGTCACAGGCCTCAGGTAAACCTCAGCTCCAGGCAGGTGGTGGCACCCGCAGGCCTCAGGCACTGGGCTGGTCTCATGGCAGTGGACTCTGGGTGTGACCCAGTATTGTGTCAGCCTCAGTGGCCGTAGGGTTACCCGAGTACCCCTCCCCCAACCGCAGCACAGTAGCGAGAAGAGACACTGTTTGGTGGAGGAAGAGGTAAGTGGAGGACTTTGCCTGGGAACCCAGTACTAGGTTCACTACAGTAAAACCCAGTACTGGGCAGAGCCTCAGCTCCCTGACACTAGACCGGTACCCACAGGCAGATCTCACCCCACCCTAGTGCCAGATGAGAACCCGCACCCAGGCGACAGGGACTGGGGATCTGGCCCACATCACCACCTACCAGCTACAGTGACCTTGGGTGCTGAATAAACCTCAGCAGCAGCAGGCAAGCCATCGCAGCCATGGGCCTTGGGCGAGCCCAGTGCTGTGCGGGTCTCAGCAGCCATGGCCTTCAGGCGTGACCCGGGCTGTGTCCGTCCCAGAGACCAGAGAATTCCAACCGCAGTGATCCCGGACTTAGGGCACGCCCTGGCACTACAACAGCTGATGCAGTCATGGGCTTAGGGTCCTGAGCAATCTGCCTCTCCTTAATCTCGGACAGGTTTACTGATGACAGAAGAGCCCAAACAAAGCCGGATGATGGAGACTGCCTTCGGTACCTATGTCAATACACGGACCTTGGCACACAGCCCTAAGAATCAAGATCAGTCAGAGAAACATGACATCGCTAAATGAACAAGTTAGGGTTCCAGTGACTAACCGCAGAGATTCAGAGCTGAGGCTGGCATGGTGGCTCATGCCTGTAACCCCAGCACTTTGGAAGGCCAAGGCGGGAGGATCACTTGAGCCCAGGAGTTCAAGATCAGCCTGGGCAACATAGTAAGATCCCATCTCTACAAAAAAAAAAAAAAATCAAAATCACTTTAGATGGGTATAGTGGTGCATGCCTGTGGTCCCAAAATGCTCAGGAGACCACTTGAGGCCAGGAGTTGAAGGCCACAGTGAACAATGTTTGTGCCACTGCACTCCAGCCTGGGCAACAGAATGAGACCTTGTATCTAAATAAATAAATAAGATGGAATAAAATAAAATATAATATGGGTAACATCTAAGCACTAGTTCTTATAAAAGGTGAAAGGCTTTATATGTACTGTCTTATTTATCCTTACACAGCCATGTGAATTAATTACTGTTATATACCCATTTGACAGATGAAAAAACTGAGATAGAAAGAAGTGAGTGCCTTTCCCAAGGTCACACAACTGGCAAGTGACAGGCCAGATGTGGACAAGCGGGACCGGGTTTACGTCCAGCTGCCATGCTGCTCGAGTGAGAAATCAGCTCAGGACCGATCATTGGTGGGAATGTAAATGAGTGGAGCCATGATGGAAAACAGTATGGAGACTCTTTAAAAACCTAGAAATAGCTCTATCATCTGATTCAGTAATCCCACTGCTGAATATGCAAAGGAAAGGGAATCAGTATGTTGAAGACATATCTGCACTCTCATGTTTATTGTGGCCCTGCTCATAATAGCTGACATAGGGAATCAACCTAAGTGTCTATCAAAAGACGAATGGATAAAAAAATGTGGACTACATATATACAATGGAATGTGATTTAGCCACTGAAAGAGAATGAAATCTGTCACTCGCATCAACATGGATGAGCCTAGAGAACATTACGCTAAGTGAAATAAACTAGGCGCAGAAAGATAAATGCCACACGTTCACACTCACATGTGAAAACTGCAAAAGCTTATCTCCTAGAAACAGAGAATAGAGAGCCAGCCACAGTGGCTCACACCCGTAATCTCAGCACTTTGGTTGGCTGAGACAGGAGGATAGCTTGAAGCCAGGAGTTCAAGACCAATCTAGGCAACATAGCAAGACCCTGTTTCTAAAAATAAAAATAAAATTAGTCTGGCATGGAGGCATGTACCTGTAGCCCCAGCAACTTGGGAGACTGAGGCAGGAGGATCAGTTGAGCCCAGGAGTTTGAGGCCACAGTGAGTTATGATCGTACCACAGCACTCCAGCCTAGAAACAGAGTAAGACCCTGTCTCTCTTTTTTTTTCTTTTTTGAAACAGAGTTTCACTCTTTTTGCCCAGGCTAGAGTGCAATGGTGTGATCTCAGCTCACTGAAATCTCCACCTCCTGGGTTCAAGCGATTGTCCTGCCTCAGCCTCCCGTGTAGCTGGGATTACAGGTGCACACCACCACACCCAGCTAATTGTGTATTTTTAGGAGAGACGGGGTTTCACCAAGTTGTCGAGGCTGGTCTTGAACTCCTGACCTCAAGTGATCCACTCGCATCAGCCTCCCAAAGTGCTGGGATTACAGGCATGAGCCACCGCTCCCAGCCTGACCCTGTCTCTTAAAAAAGCATTCATCGTGACCAGCCTGGCCAACATGGTGAAACCCCGTCTCTACTAAAAATACGAAAAATGAGCCAGGCATGGTGTCGGGCACCTGTAGTCCCAGCTAGTTGAGAGACGGAGGCAGGAGAATTGCTTGAATCTGGGAGGAGGAGGTTGCAGTGAGC